TTATTTATGCGAATCCTCGCGCTGGCAAGCATACTGCCCCGGGCTGAGAACATAAAGAGCAGTGTTACACCCTTTTTTCACTTGTGCCTTTCAGGTGAACGACAGCCACTGACCGACACGAACAAAACCGACCCGGGAAACTTGGGCAAAAGCCTCGATCCTTTGTATCAATCCGTGAATCCTTGACTAGCCAGCGGCCCACGAATAGAGGTCAAGTAAGTTCAAATTCGAATGGTCCGCGTTTTTAGCTGCAAACATCGAAGAACAAGTGTAACGAAAACTCCCCTATCCGGCTCGACATTACATTGTGTATCAATCCGTGAATCCTTGACTAGCCAGCGGCCCACGAATAGAGGTTCTCCAAGTTCAAATTCGAATGGTCCGCGTTTTTAGCTGCAAACATCGAAGAACAAGTGTAACGAAAACTCCCCTATCCGGCTCGCGATACATTACATTTTAATATAACTCCTGTTATAGTTTCAGCAGACGCATATTTCAGCTGCAGGAATACACATCTTGTTTATATACACCTCAAGCTGGGCGCCGTGTTCAAATCGGCCGTGGCCCGTTCTCGTCTCCCCGGGTCGTCTGTTCTTTTATCTTGTTTTTAAAAAGCCATGGCTCCTGGAGCTGATGAGAAGCCTGAAGTGAAGCCGGATGTCTCTGACTCTGAGTCTGACTCAGACGACTCTGCTCCGGAGTTGGCTGAAGCAAAAGATCAAGGTGACACTAAAGGAGCTGGACTAACAGATGATCTTCTCAGCCGCAGTAAGCAGTCTAGAAGCGAGAAGAAGGCTCGAAAAGCAATGTCGAAACTTGGTTTGAAGCCTATCCCTGGAATTTGTCGCGTCACTATAAGAAAAGCCAAGACCATCATGTTTGTTATCAGTCAGGCCGAGGTGTACAAGTCCTCGGCCTCAGACACGTATATAATATTCGGAGAAGCTAAAGTCGAAGATATGTCAGCACAGGCCCAAATAGCAGCTGCCGAAAAGCTCCGAAGTCAAGCAATGGCCGGATCCGGTTTGGGTGCTTCTGGTGTTCTCTCAAAAGATGTGGGTGGTTCAATCACAAAGACTGCCATACCGGAGGAATCTGAGGATGAGGAGGAGGTAATCTGTCTTTTTTCATGACACCACGCTTCTAGCCTGATGCCACGGGTTTGGGCGAGAAAGATATCGAGCTTATAATGCAGCAGGCCAGTGTTTCTCGTAGTAAAGCGATTAAAGCTCTTCGGGAAAATAACAACGATATGGTTAATGCCATAATGGTAAGTTCACTGTGTTTGCCTTCACCTAATTATTACCTTGTAGTCTTTGACGGCGTGATTTACATTGTTTCTAAAATGAAAATAAAGTGCTGTACATCCGAGAATATCCCACCTGAGTATTTTTCGTTTCGTTCGCCTTACAAATAAGCTCATGCTAAACAGATCACCTGGTTGGGAATGGAGCACTGTCCAACCAGATGCCGAGCACCTATCAAATGCAATTGGTGCTTTCGAAACCCTATGTCCGTGAAGTCATCATAAAACGCAATGGCTGATATCCAGCTGGCCACCCGCAAATTCCTGTCCAGGCTGTCAGCCTATGATACAAACATGGTCTGTGGATATGAAAACCCTTTCATCCTTATCAGCGTTCCTATGCTTATCTTAACTCAAGCGTTACCATGCTGTTGGTCTCGACGACTTAACTGCCATGTTCAAAGATACTGAAGATCTCCTTGGTCCTTGACGGTCTAATTCGTTGGTCTCTCTGGGTAAATCGTAAACATAGAGACGTCAGTTTTCTTATGTTGTAACAGGGCTGCTGGCTCCACTGGTTCATCGTTTTACGTTGGTACAGAATCTTTGTCCCCTGGCTGGTTAGAGGCTGAATCCACCACATCTTCAGTCTCCTTCAGTTTTTGGATGGTCTTAGTTAACAGACTTAGTCTTCCTCGAACTCAAGCTTTGTCTTTGAACAAGCCTTTTTTCTCACCCTCTCCGGTGAAAGTGCATCCAATGGGGCAACGCACGAAGCCTATAGGTCCGCGGTACGTGTAAAAGATCGCGCCGCTTATGTTGAAAAGGTATTGGTCTGATGTTCCCATCGGACCCGCGCAGTGCTTTGGAGACTTTAGTCAGACATTTCGGAAGTGTCACGCGCGCCCACCAGGCCACGGGTCCCAAAAGTAAAACATCGGACCACTGCAATGTCCCATTGACAGTTAAGCTGATGTCATGTGTGCGCTACGAGTACCAAAGGCAGGCACATGTTGCCTTGGCCTCGCCAGTTTGCGAAGTGACTTCGTCTCCCACAACTCCGTCGACACTCATACAGCTGCTCAGACAAAGTTATCCACCTCCATTTGGTTAACCTGTGACCATGAGTTCAGTATGCGCTTCGCACTTCACAGGTGCCAGAATGAGTCAGCACTTTTTGCTCAAAGGAGCAAGCCTAACAAACCGTGATAGTTCTCTTTCTCAGCAGCTATCTGTTGGGATGCATGCTGATACAATGACCGTTCGCCACGTCAGCATGTATTGATCTCCAATAAACTGTCCGGACTAAAGCCGAAAAATGACTATTGCAATCCTGTTCAGGAAGGTGTACTCGGACAATTCTCATGCCGGAGGTACCGCGCCCCATTACGTCGGCAGCACCAGATATCTACAGTGAAGTCTCGGAAGCCTCGTCCTCACGATGGACAGCATATTCCTGGTACTTCGTCCCGGTACAACCATGATCCATTCGACAGTGAATGGGGGAGCAACTCCCCTATCACAATCATTCCGATGTGTCTACACTTACAGATACTCAGGCAATCTGGGTAAAAACTGACGATATGCACGCCGTTAACATCGATTAGCATCCATATCTTGCAGCTTCTCTAACCAGGGACAGTGAGGATCATGTGGACCATATCCTAGAAGGCGGGTGGCACCGATTTTCGTAATCTTTTTCATACATCCGCCTCTAACTGGACAGGAGAGGTCGATTCATCATCATTGTCAGGAGTAATAATCGCGTATTGTACAGTGGTTGAAACTGCCACAGTTTCGTTGATCGATTGTTCGGGGAGGTGGGGTAACTAGCGGCACATTGGAGGCGAGAGCTGATAAATTAGTGCCTAGATACAGCACTATAGGTGGACTTTTATGTAGGGGGGTTGGGGAGGGAGCTATGAATTCAAAGCAATAGCTTGGATGCTCGAGCACCATTGAGGGCGCGACTGGGCCATATCTGACAATGTCTCCAGCCATTGATGTGGCCCGTCTCGGGGTCCCCATCCAGGAAGACGGCAATGACCAGCGTAGCTGAGTTTGCTGGTAATGGCTTTTATACTTCGCTGCCAAGTTATGTTTGACCGCCTCTGGCACTCTCCCACTTTTCACGTGGTTGTACGAAAAGAGCCCTTCGAGGAAGTCGGTCGACTGGCACACGCAGCACGTGGCCAAGCCCACGCAACCTATGCAGTGTGATCAGTTCATCTATCGAGGGTGAGTTATTCCTCCCGAATACCATTCGACTTGTTTGAGCATTGCTGATCCGGTGTTTCCACCAGATTCTGGCAATGCTCCGAAGACATCGGTGGTCAAACACTGAATGTCTTGACGTCCTTGGCGCGCAGCGGCCAGGTTTCTGATCCGTATAGTAATATGAAGCGCACCGGAGCATTGTAACCGTCACGAAGAGACTGGACCTTACCGTGGTGTGACGGTTTGCGCACCTCAGCGATCCATTGAGCTATACTGGAGAGTGTCCCGTGACACTCACAGAGTCTCTCATACCAGGTTGGTCAATGGTTAGAGGTCTGACGAACACAGTCTCCTGGCCCTCCAGGTTGGGGGTTGGAACATGTGGCGACTTGTTCCGTAGAAATGGTAATGCATTTGCATTTCCCGCCAAACACCGCTGCCTTGCGGTTAAGCTTTTGAGCCAAAGGCTTTGGTTGAGGACCCTAATCGTCCTCCTGTCTAGGTGTAGGCGCCCTGGCAGTATCCCAGCCCT